TGAATGGATTGAAAAACTGTGGCACATATGCTCTATGGAATACTATTCAGCCATTAAGAACAACAAAACCCTGGCTTTTGACAGAAAGTGGAAGAATATGGAAGATTTACTGCTGAGTGAAGCAAGCCAGGCTGTGAAGGAGAGTCACTGTATGTCCCCACTTAATATATACCGAATGTCCGCACTCTATAACTGAAACTGACAGGCTAAAGGATGTACAAACACAAGGGGTGGATGTGAATGCCAGTTGTGGTGTGTGTAAAGGAGTGGGGCCTGGGGAAAAACATTTGAAGGAGGGATACAAAGACAGCATTGTTGAGACAGGGAGGTAGTGTTACTATATTCTGATCAACTCGACCCGGGAGAAATGTTCACATATTAGAATGATCACCTTGTAAGCTAAATAATGTGATTGAATGTATTTAAAAATGTAAATAAAAATAAATAAGTAAAAAAAATTAGATTTTTTAAAATTAATTAATTAATTTTTTTTTTTTTTAAAAAAGAAGATTCCGTTACTCCTGGGCCTATGCTTGGGTCTCTTCCTCCAGATCCTTGCTGTGAGGGACACTGCCACAACACACGGCCTCTCAGACCTGTTCCCCCACCACCTCCTAGTTCTCAGGGCCACCCCTGGCTGGGACATTGTTGGGGCCACTGGGAGCAGGTACCGCAGAGAAGACATCTAGCAACCGCCGCGTCTGGCGCCAGAGCGAGGCCCAGATTACATAAAATCTCATATGCCGAGCACACAGCCCTGTTCTGAGGTATGGATGAAGTGCTCAGTCAGCGGCTCGCTGAGTGGACTTAGGGACAATTTTGATAAGTTAACCTCACACTAAGCCGTGTGAGAAGGGGGGCTGATCCAGAGTTTGGATTCTCTCACTCCACTGCTTCCTGGGCCAGTGAGGGGCCAGGAGGAAAGGTGCCAAGGACGTGCCCATCGCTGGCAAGACCAGGCTCAAGAGCCCACATATCCATGCAGGAGGGCCCATGCTGTCAACTACCTTCCTGTGGCCACAGTCTCACCACAGGTCCCACAGGATGGAGGGTCACAGGGCTTGCTCTGCGAGGTGGGCTGGGGGTGCGGATGGGCAGTGTGGATAACGCCCAGCACGGATTCATTGGGTCTCGTACCTCAGCACAGGGCCGCTTCTGTGCCACGAGACTTACACGCAGTGAGAGTGACCATGACGATGGACACACCGTCCTGACAATGACAGGCGCGGCAGTCACCCGGCCAGCTCGGCACAGCTCACTGTGTGCTGCTCATGGGGCCCTGGCGGGCCCACTTCTAGAAGTAAGAGAAGGGCGAGTAAGAGAAGGGCAAGCAGTTCTTCTGAACCCAGGTCTTTGTAAAATATTTTAAGATGGAAACAAAAGACATGTACAAATCTATTTAAACAGTGTCTTAGTCTGTTTCTGCTTTTCTAACAGAAATATCTGAGACTGGGTGTTTAATAAAAACAAAAAAACCAGGAGTTTATTAACTCATGCCTCTGGCAGCTGGAAAGCTCGAAGGCACAGGCCTGACATCTGGCTGGCCTACACCATGGCCAATGGAAGCAGAGGAGGGCAGGTAAGTGCAGAGATGTCTGCTCGCTCGCTCTCTCTTTCATAGCAACCATCTCTCATGAGAACCTCTCCTTGCTACATCTAGAGCTCACGGGGACATCATTCATCTTTTCACGCGTGTGGCCTCCATGGTGCCGTCACCATTTCCCTCTCCTAACACCAGATTCTAAAACATGAAGCTTTGAGGTACACACCAGGATCCAAACCATTACAACCAGTAACAATAATACTAGTTTTCTAACACAGACAATTGTTAGTCTATGCATTATATAGAGCACCTTCTAAAATCAAATCATTGTTTAGTATCGGCTTCATCACAGCAGTGAAAATAATCAAACAGGCTACATACCCAACCACAGGACAATGAGGACATGGACTATGCCGTGCCCACGAGACTGGCTATTATATACTCAGAAAACATTTTTTCACAGAATACTTAACCGAGAAAAAACTTAGAGTTAATATGAAAAATATCATTTTAAGACTATATTATGTAATTAAAACCAAAACCAGGCATAGGTTTTGGTTTAAGTATGTTCAATTTTGCTTAAAATATATACATGCATGTACACATGCACACACACCTGTTTGGTTCTAAGCAAAGAAGCGTGAAAGGCCAAACAACGAATAGTATAATGTGGCTCTCTGGGTTTATGGGTAGTTCTATTTTCTTTTTCACATTTCTCTATTTTATCTAAATTTTTGATAAGAAATGGGGTGGGATAAACTAAGACACAGTAATTTTCTTTAAAAAAAACCTTGTCTGTGGGCCTGAACACCATGGGACATGTGTTTTCTTTTCTTTTTCCTAAATCGAACACATGTAAGAGGCAGAGAAGCAGGAGGCAGCCCCAGTGTCCCTGAGCACCTGATCCTGGATCCGCTCCGAGCAGCCTGTGGAGAAAGTCAGATCCCAAGTTCTCGGTAAGCACGTATCACACAGAGCAGCATTAAACTGCGCAGCAGTCCACATGCAGAGGGCTCGGAGACTGGCTTGAAGGGGCCCCAGACTAGAGCACACTACACAGGGAGACACACACAGACAATGTACTCGCAGGGGCTAAGAGAGTGGGGGGGGGGCGTTCTTTTGACTTCAGGCACGTCGACCATGACACCTTTCCACTCGGTGACTTCTGACCTTTAAGGATTCAAAGCTTTAGTGTATTAGTACATTACCCCTTTGAACTCTTAACAATGAAATGATGACTATTCCAATTTTTAAAAATGAAGAGCTATCAATGCCTCAATTTACATTTTTAGAAGGCAAGGTGTGGGGCCAGCAGGTGGCGTGGTGGTTAAGACGCTGGACTCCCACGTGGCTGACTACAGTTTGAATCCTGGACCTGGTGGTTTGCTTCCTAACTTTCCCTCTCTTTCTGTCTCTCTCTTCGGTGAGCATATGTGCCCTATGGCAAAAAAAAAAAAAAAAAAAAAATTTAAGAAAGAAAGAAGGAAGGAAGGAAATACACACATAATTTTAAAAAAGAAGGCAGGACCAACAGATGGTGTAATGGTTATATCACTGAACTCCCATGTAGTCAACCACAGTTCAAGTTCCAGACCTGGTGGCTTAAAACTCATGCCAGGAGCATGTGCAAGCATGACCAAAATCCCAAGAAGAAAATGGAGGAGAAGGGACTGTGGCGTGGCCATTCCCCCAAGGCGTGATTTCTTGCTTTCTGTCTCTCTGCCTCTCTCTGTCCCTCTGGCAAGCGCACACGCCCTATAGCAAGAACCTCTCTCAAAAACACAAACAAAAAGGCACACACCGTTATGTACACACACATGTAGATGCAGAAAACATGTCAGAAACATACATAAATAACTTGTAATGTGGTCACTGAGGGGGGATCTGAGGGAGAGGGGGAGGTCAGGAATGGATCTGACTTTCCCCTTAAGCCTCTTCAGATAGTCCCGATTAATTAAGAAAAAGAATCCTTTGTACAGTCCACTGGACCAAAAGAAAAATACAGAGGTATCTTGAAACCTGAATTAGAAATCACTCCTCTAATGTTTTGACAATTAAAAACTAGATGTGGTATCACAGAGCCTTCTGCAAGTCAAACTATATGAGTTCTCCTTCTTGGCTCTTAAATAAGTTTTAAAAACAAGAAGCAACTTCTCTGCTTCATAAGCTGGCTAAAACCATTTAGATCTTTTCTAAGAAAACAGACCGAGTCCTTCAGAAGATCATGCACTGCACTTACTGGATTGTCAGGGAAGTCAGGACATATTTTTGCAAAGAAAACCATAGAAAATATGTCAATATATTAGATAACCTAATATAACTCACGCATCAAAATGATGTCTCTCTCTTAAGAGCACAGAACTAGAAAACGCTCCTGGGACAGCTCGTGGCCTGGCAGTTGATGTGCTGAATCCCACATGGCCAACTGCACAGTTCGGGTCACAGACCAGTGGCTTGAAAAACACACCAGGAACATGTGCTCAACATCCCAAGAGGAGAGTGGAAGAGCTGGGACTGTGTTGTGGCCATCCCCTAGTGGTGATTTCTCACTTTCCCCTCTTCTCTGTATGTGTGTCCCTCTCTCCAGTGAGTACATGTGCCCAATAGCAAATTTTTAAAAAGATAAAAGAAAATGTTTCTGTTGCTATTCCACCCACAGGAATCAAGCAGAGGCCCTGGAGTCCCAAAGAACAACTGACGTTTCGACTATAGAAATTTGTCACCATGAGTTAAAAAGGGCCAAAGCCACAGATATTGGCCTTCTTTCCACTTTCTCACATACCTGAGTTTTAGAAACTCAGTATTATACTTTCTTTAAGTACAACTATTACTAAAGTGGTACTGTAAGTATAGAAGGCTTTATTATTATTTCTTTCCTTTCTTTAAGTACAACTATTACTAAAGTGGTACTGTAAGTATAGAAGGCTTTATTATTAGTCTTTCCTTACTTACCTCAATCAGGTGATAAGGCTACCGAGCGTTCAATACTAACTGTTCTGCTTACCACTGGGATAACGTGGGTGACTCCATCTCCACTGTCAATGACTATCCCTGTTAGCGTACGTTCGCCAACCTGTCGAGATGTCCAAGACGCTGCTAAGGCCAGCACTGCCTAGAGAGAACACAGAAACACTGACACACGGGACTTTCTCTAGAGTCTTCTGCCTGCTTGTTCCTGGTAATAAATACAAGTAATTCTTTCCCTTCCCCATCCTTTATCTAACTTCCCCTCAACAATATTTCCATTTCAATTTGGATGACACCATAAAAATTGTGTACTTAAAACTCTACGAGTCAAGTTTCCAATAAAGAGACCTGAATTCTTACCAAAAAAGCCAGTGAAAAGGGGACTTCAGGAGGCCAACAGTTGGTGTAGTGGTTGAGGCGCTAGACTCCCAAAATGGCCAACTACAGTTCAAGCCCAAGATCTAGTGTCTTGAAAATTGTACCCAGTATGTGTGCCTGTGAACCCAAAATCCCAGGAGGAGAATGGAGGTGAAGGAACTGCAGCATGGCCATCTACCCTGGGGTGGAGAGTGATTTCTCACTTTCCCTCTCACTGTCTGCCTCTCTCCGGTGAGCACACCCACCTTATGGAAAAACCTAAAAAAAAAAAAAAAAAAAAAAAAAAAAAAAAAGAATTTTATTATAGGGTCATAAGACTCCAATTTTTCATTCACTGCTTCCCAGTGTGAGGTCATACACTGACTGCAATAAAATCACTGTGAACTTTTTTAAGTACTGGTTACTAGACCTCACAACCCCAAATCCTAAGCCACTAAGTCCAGTCCACCGGTTGCCAAGAGCGGCAATTCTGCTCTCTGGGAGACGTTGGTAATGTCTGGGCTGTTTCTCCATGCCACACCTTTAGGGGCTGGTGGGAGAGCTACTGACTCCTGCACGTGGGGGCCAGGGTTTGGCTGCAGCACACAGGATAGCCACGCGACAAGACAGAACTGAGGCTAGAACACCCTGGTCTAAGGTGAGCAACGAGACTTTAAAAATACTCTGCAGGTGAATTTGAAGAACAAACTACTTTGAGAACCGCCTGTCCAGTGTCCTCTAAATATTCCCCTATTCCATGGAACACACATAACCTAGGGGAGAGGATCAATCTGTGGTTAAATAACTTGAAAGTGCCAGAGTAAACAGACCCTCTCAAAGCTCTGAGCTGTTACTCTGCTAACATGCACTGAATACAGCACCCCCCCAATTCACTTGCTCCCCACCTTTTACTTAGAAGGGAATAGTGTTGTGCAGAAAACATTAAAGAAACACCCAGCTCGTTTGTTCCAAAAATTTCAATCTTTTACAAAAGGTAGAAAACAAATAATAATTAAAAGCAACCCATAAAACCTTGCACCAAGAACAAGTAGCTTCAGAAGAAGCTCTGAAGTTCATGAATCCAGAGTCTCTCAGATGCAAGACAGAACACCAGCACAAGAGCCCACAGAAGAGGCCCTCGAGAGGTCTTTATTTTGTTTTCCTAGTAACAAAATGCCAAAAGAAGAATCATATCTATACCTCTACCTTGTCATCTCGGAAAAAAATATTTTAGACACTGACACCTGATAAAGAGCCTCACAGAGTCGATGCCATATAAACATAAGTATAAATGTAAGTGTCATGGGACATGTTCTCCACAGTGTTTCCGTTCAAACCAGACTGGTGTGTGTGTGTGTGTGTGTGTGTGCCACGAGGGAGTGGAAAGAATGAACACACAGCACAACCACACAACAGAGGACCTTTGGAATTATCATTGTTTCCACTGCTAAACTTCTACAGTTGCTTGGGAATCACAAAAGTAATGCTTGTAAGTGTCATGGGACATGTTCTCCACAGTGTTTCCGTTCAAACCAGACTGGTGTGTGTGTGTGTGTGTGTGTGTGTGTGTGCCACGAGGGAGTGGAAAGAACGAACACACAGCACAACCACACAACAGAGGACCTTTGGAATTATCATTGTTTCCACTGCTAAACTTCTACAGTTGCTTGGGAATCACAAAAGTAATGCTTTACCTGAACTGCAATGTAGAGTCCTGGTACATTAAATGATTCAAACATAATTTCTGCAAGATATTCTCTATTTTCTGGTGTATTCAGTGGAGGTTCTGTCTGTAAGAAAACATTCACTATTTTTAGCATTTACCCAAATCTCATGTAATTACATCAGAACCATAAAAAGGTTATACCTGAAAGCATGTTAGCTAGTATATGATAAAACTCCCTAACTTTACACACAGACTATGCCCAAAGTGATTAATTAAAGAAATCTGACTGTTGGTCTTAAACACTTTAAGATGACAGAGTAATGACCTCTCTGAAGGTGTCTGGCCTCAATCCCAGCCTAAAACTAGAACAAGCCTTCCCCCCCGTAACACCTAAGACCCTGAAACTGAACACCGCTGAAACAAGGCTTGCCCAGGCCAGGAAAAGCACTCACACTGAGCGAGAGCCCCAAGAGTACTTTTGATCTCGGGCAAAGAACGAGTTCTCCATGGACAGCCAAGGGCTGGACTCGGTGCATCGGACAGGAGACCTGGGCTCCTGACCAACAGGGGCAGCAAAGCAAGACCAACAGCCTTGCCAGCCAGCACGAGGCCGAAAAGGCCCAGGCAGAGCACGGTTCCCTCCGCTGCCTAACGTCACACGCGGCTAGTGCAGGAAGAATTTTAAGGTGAGTACAGATCCCAGAGGAACAGCCAGTGGTCATAGAAAAACACCAGAGAAAGAGAGTAACAGGATGAACAAACAGTAGGCCACACACACAGATCTGAAAAAAAATAAAAATAAAGCAGGTACAAATCACAATCAAAGACATTTCCAAGAATCAAAACATCCACTGTGAACAACAGCCTCCACCACAGGCAGAAGTGACAGGATGGCAGGAATATTAAAAATAAACAGTGCCGGGGCAGGCATGGCGGTTAAGGTGCCGATCCCAGATGGATGGCTGGGCAGTGTGAGTCCCAACCTGGCGACCTGAAAAACAACGCCAGGTGTGTGTGCGTGCCCCAGGTCCCAGAGAATGCGGGCGGGACTGAAGGGTGACTACGCCCATGGGGGGTGCTTCCTTACTTTCCTTCTCTTTCTGTCTCTCTGGTGAGCATGTGAATAGACTTAGCTTTTGCCATTTAGCAATATGTTTTGAAAGTTTTCCAGTATCAATAAACATGAACTACATCTCCTATTTAAAGCTGCAGAAAAAAAAAAATAAATAAAAAGCCTCTGAGCCTTTGGCAAAAAGTCGGTAATACCCTTTAGGATGAACTGAGAGTTGTGGCCAGCCCCAAAACTCATACAATGAAGTCCACTGTGCCAGATGTGGCGGTAGGGATTTTAGGGAGGTAATTAAGATCAGGATGAGGCCCTCATCAAGGGACCAGCAGTCTGACAGGGAGGAGGAAACACCAGAGCCTGTGCGCATGCACACGGACACCGCCAGATGGCAGGAAGAGGGCCCCCTCCAGGAACCAACCCTCGTGGCACACTGACCCTGGACTTCTGGCCTCTGTTTAGTGAGAAAATAAGCTGCCTTGTTCAAGCCACCCAGCAGCAAGTGGTGACAGCCAGGCAGACTATGTCACCCTAAGGAGAGAGACATCCCCGTCTCAGACTTCAGCACGACACTTAACGGGAGTCTGGAACGAGAAGGTGAGGAGGCACGAATTCTCCATCTGGTCACACCATCAATCCAATACACCGCAAAAAACAAGTTATTCTTACACATGTAAGAACTGGGAAGTATCGCTCCCCTAAGTCCTTCATGAATTAACTACTAGTGAATAAACTTTACCCAAAAGGACAGGGGCACAGCAGTAAAACTGGGCATTCTCCAAGGCTGACCCACAGGGGAAGGTCCCGATCCCCCTCCAGACTCCTCCCTGAGAACACCAGGCACACGTGTGCCTAGGACTCAGGGCCAGCGGCTGGGGTAGAACGCCGGGCACACCTGTAGCTAGGACCCAGGGCCGGCAGCTGGGGTAGAACACCGGGCACACCTGTGCCTAGGACCCAGGGCCAGCGGCTGGGGTAGAACACCGGGCACACCTGTGCCTAGGACCCAGGGCCGGCAGCTGGGGTAGAACGCCGGGCACACCTGTAGCTAGGCCCCGGGGCCGGCGGCTGGGGTAGAACGCCGGGCACACCTGTAGCTAGGACCCAGGGCGGGCGGCTGGGGTAGAACGCCGGGCACACCTGTGCCTAGGACCCAGGGCGGGCGGCTGGGGTAGACCACAGTGCTGCGCTCCTGTTTTGGGGCTGCTGCCTCTCTCCCTCTCTCCCCACCCCCTTTCAGTCTCTCTTGCTCATGCAAGAAATAAAAACTTTTTTATAAAAGATGCAAATGTATGGCAAAGGACAGGGAACACAATCCACTTATGATAGAGAACTAAGGATTTTTCTTTCCTGGGAATTATGGAACAGGGTATAAACGAAAACAGCAGAGATAATATCAAGTCGGAAGGTATGTGAAGAAAGGGGTCAGTGTAAAGACACTGATGTCCTCTCATAAAACCCAAAGGCATTGTTTAGAACTGATGAAGCATCGGGGCAACGACACATGTAAAGTTATAAATGTTACCAAGGTAAGATTAGTATACTATCAGCAATTAAAAGCAAGAGGTAGAGGGAAGGAAGGGGAGGTAAGAATATGTGGAAATGCCACCTTGGTCACTGATCACAGGATGAAGCAGATAATCACCCCTAAGCAAGTACTGGTAAATACATAAAATTATACTAAAATATGCATGGAAACCTTTTAAGTCATTAGAAAGAACATACACAAAGTGAAAACAAGCCTTGGATTTAAAAAAAAAATGCATTAAAATAGAAAGCAAAACAAAATAGAAATGCTGACTGAGACAGACCTGTCTTACAGCAACAGGCCAGGCCAGGCCAGAACATCAGCTGGGATGTGACCTTCCAAGTTCCTAGGGTCAGTAAGTGACTTCCCCTTGCCCTGCATTTCCTCTTTGGTAAGATGATAACAATTATTTCATTGGTGGAAAAATGAAAACGCATTTTTCTATGTAAAATTATGTCATGACTTTTCTGACAACCCGTAAGAATGTGGCTCACAGAGTTGGAAGGATGAAAGGAGACCTAAGTCATTAGAGAAGTACCTGGCACACAGGTGTGCTCAGTGGAAGCGAGTTGCTAACATTAAAATGAATAGCAAATATAAATGAGAAACTTACCTACTAAAAGAAAATGTCTCTTAGTTAAGAAAAAAAAATCAAATCAAATTACATTCTAACCAAGAGACATAATCTAAAACAAAGTAGCTCACAGAGGTCAGAAGTCTCGACTATTTGCAAGCATTAGAACACCAGAAGCAATCTAAATGTCCAAACCTAAGGAATTAATTGATTATGCTACATCCATAAAATATAACGCTTTCCAGCAACCACAAAGGGTGAGTGAGCTCTGTAAAGAAACAATCTCAATGATGAACTCTTAAATGAAAAAGTGAAGGGTGTCTCCATTCTGCACACATTCTTAAAATACTTTTTGTAGTGACAGTTTGTAACAAAAACTGCATTTAAGAAACAAGGCAGAGGGCCAGCAGCATGGTGGTTAAGGCAATGAGTCCCACACGGCTGACAGTGCAGCTTCAGCTTACACTGGCGAGGACCTGGAGGCCTGAAAAACATGTCAGGTGCGCGTGCCCAAAATTCTGACAGAAGGGAAAGATGGAGGAGCGAATGCAGCATGTCATGCCCCATAAGGGCTGCTTTCTCACTTGTTCTCTCTCTCTCTCTCTCTCCCTCTCTCTCTCTCTCTCTCTCCCCCGCCCACATACCCTCTGACAAATTAAAAAATAAAAATAAAAATCAAGATATTTCCCAGACAAGAGGGAGGAGAAAGCCATCTCAAAATGTGAGAGAGAAAAGAATGACATCACCTTCAAGAGTTGACTGAAAACAAGTGACTAAAACCACTTATTTTAATGTGCCTACCTCAAGGGGTTAAGAAGATTAAATTCCTAATACCTATAAAATGCCCAGCCAGAGTTAGCACTATAAATGATAGAAATTCTTATGTTAGATTTTTTTCATGTATAGCACACAATGCTAAAATTCCAACAGCATTGGTTATAATGTGTCTCTATCAATCTGAAAATGGGCCTAATAACATTACCCACCAATGGGTTGCTGGTGGGATTACATAAATGAATTAACGATGTTTGTAGATTCTGAGAATGGGGCTGGGCACCTAGGACAGGCTCGTAATTACCAGCTGTAATTGCCAATGATGTGTCTCGTACCAGAAGAAATAACATTCAGTAACTACAAAGATCTGGAAAGGTATTTCTCACCTTGAATAGAAATGTAAGCCCTGCCAGTTAACTTGATGAACAAACCATGCCACCTAAGTAGACAGGAGTAATAAGAGAGTAAAAGGTATGAAAAGGGCACTCCCTGAGGTGCGGCACCTAGGTCCCGTGCAGAGGGCGCCAGATCCCACGTGGCCAACTGCACTTGGAACCCCAGACCTGGTGGCTTGAAAATCATGCTGGGAGCACATGCATACACACTCCAAATCCTAATGGAATAGAGAAAAGAAGGAAAAAAGATTGGGGTATGACCACACCCCATTAGGGGATTCATTCATTCATTCTCTCTCTCTCTCTCTCTCTCTCTCTCTCTCTCTCTCTCTCTCTCCACCCCTGGAGAGCACACACATCCTCTGGAAACGGATAAGGTAGAAGGATCCCACATGACTGGTTGTAAGCATAAGTCCTGGACCTAGTGGCTTGAAAACAGAATGTCAGGGGAGTGTGCATACATGCCCAAAATTGCAAGAGAAGAGTGGAGAATGGATTGGGGCAGGGCCATCTGCCCTGGGGGATGCACTCGCTCTCTCTCTCTCTCTCTCTCTCTCTCCCCAGAAAGTACACATACCCTACAACAAAAATTAAAAAAAAAAAAACCTTTATGTACAAAGATCACATTGTTTCTTATAAAACCAAGAAATTGAAAGCAGAAGTTAGTGTCTAAAAGTACTACAATGGGGGCCAGCAGGTGGTGATGTGGTTAAGGCACTGGACTCACAGATGGCCAACCATGGTTTGAGTCCCAAACCTTGTGATTTGCTTTCTCATTCTCAGTCTC